AAGAAATCAAACGACGTATTGTATTAGGCAAATCTGATGCACAAGACCTTTTAAAGTGTTGAAGAGCAAAGATGTCAGCTTGAAGACTAAGGTGCACCTGACCCAAGTCATTTGCATGTGAAAGCTGAACAGTGAATAAGGAAGACTGTAGAAGAATTGATGCTTTTGAGTTATGGTGTTGGAGGAGAATATTGTAAGTGTGCTCCTTGGAGGCCAAGATGGGCAAATTTCGTCTCTCAGACTTTGGACATATTGTCAGGAGGGACCAGTCACTGGAATAGGAAAAAGAAGAAGACCCCCAACGAGATGGATTGTCCAAGTGGCAGCATCGATGGACTCAAGCGTGGCAACAGTAGTGAGGTTGGCCCAGGATCGGGCAGTGTTTTTGTCTGCTATGCATAAGGTCTCTATGAGTTGGTACTGACTTGATGGCACCTAACAACAACAACAATAGGTAAAATGGAGTCCTGGTGTGGCGCTGTGGGTTAATACGATGGACTGCAAAGTCAGTTTGAACTGTAAGGATGGCGGTTCATGCTCACCAGCCACTCCTTGGAAACCCTATACAGGGTCACCATGGGTCAGAACTGATTCGATGGCACTTAACAATAACAACAACAACATAGGCAAAATATTGAATGATGCAGAATGTATCAAAAGAAGATGAAAGGAATACATAGAGTCATTGCACCAAAAACAAATGGTCGATGTTCAACCATTTCAAGAGGTAGCATATGATCAAGAGCCAATGATATTGAAGGAAGAAGTCCAAGCTGCACTGAAGGCATTGGTAAAGAAAAAGGCTCGGGAATTGATGGAATAAAAATTGAAATCTTTCAACAAACTGATGCAGGAAAAGAACAAGGCTCTGGGAATTGATGGAATACAAATTGAAATCTTTCAACAAATTGATGTGGCATTGGAGGTACTCACTTATTTATGCCAAGAAATTTGGAAGACAGCTACCTGGCCAACTGACTGGAAGAGATCCATATTTGTGCCCTTTCCAAAGAGAAGTAACCCAATGGAACACAGAAATCATTGGACAATATCATTAATATCACATGCAAGTAAAGTTTTGCTAAAGATAATTCAAAAGTGGCCACAGCAGTACGTTGACAGGGAACTACCAGAGATTCAGGCCAGATTCAGAAGAGGACAAGGAATGAAGGATATCATTGCTAACATCAGATGGATCTTGGAAGAAAGCAGAGAATACCAGAAAGATGTTGACCTGTGCTTTATTGACCACACAAAGGTTTTCAAATGTGTGGATCATGACAAACTATGGACAATATTGTGAAGTATGAGTATTCCAGAACACTTAAAATTGTGCTCACGAGGAACCTGTACATAGACCAAGAAACAGTTGTTCGACCAGAACATGAGAACACTGAATGGTTTAAAATTACGCAAGCTGTTCACCAGGGTTGTATTCTTTCACCATACTTATTCAATCTGTATGCTGAACAAATAATCCAAGAAGCTGGATTATATGCAGAAGAACATGGCATCAAGATTGGAGGAAGACTCATTAACAACCTACGATATGCAGGTGATACAAACTTGCTTGGTAAAAGCGAAGAGGGCTTAAAATACTGATGAAGATCAATAGACTGTACCTCCATGTAAAAAAAAGCCAAAAAACCAAAATCCTCACCACTGGACTAATAAACAACATCCATATAAGTGGAGAAAAGATTGAAATTGTCAAAGACTTCATTTTGCTCTGATCAACCATCAACACTTACGGAAGCAGCAGTCAAGAAACCAAATGACATATTGCATTAGGCAAATCTTCTGCAAAAGACATCTTTAAAATGTTCAAGAGCAAAACTGTCAGTCTGAGGACTAGGTGGACCTGACCCAAGCCATGGAATTTTCAATAACCTCCTATGCATGTGAAAGTTGCACAGAAGCCAGGATGGCCAGACTTGGTCTCTCAGACTTTGGACATATTATTGATTGGGAGGGGCCAGTTCCTGGAGAAGGACATCATGTTTGGTAAAGTGGAAGGTCAGCGAAAAAGAGGAAGACTCCAAACAAGATGGATTAACACAGTGGGGGCAGCAGTGGGTTCAAGTGTAGCGATGATTGTGAGGTTGGCGCAGGACCAGACAGTGGTTCATTCTGTTTTGTGTAAGGTCGATATGAGTCAATGTTGACTTGACAGCACCTAACAACAACAACTACCTATTCTCAGGCCAGCCAGAGAAGTAGGACCCAGAGCCGATCTGGCTTTGAATTGCCCCAGTGTGGCTGGCACATGTGCCAATGGACTCACCAGGTCAAACTCAGTCACCACAGGGATAGCGAAATCACACAGGAAAGTCAGACATGTGGCAGGAGCCCCAGCACAAAAATGATAATGCTCACAAGTGAGCTGAAATGGTAAACCAGGCCTTCAACATACAAAATAAAACCACAATACAACGTGCCCAGATGTATGACAGCAGCAACCAAATTCTACTATATGAAGGACTCCAACAACAAGGGCTCACAAGAACAACGCAAAAGAAACCCATACAGGTTGTTGCTGTTAAGTGCCCTCAAGTTGATTTCGATTCTGTATAGGGTTTCCGAGAAACAGCTGGTGGGTCTGAGCCACCAACTGTATAGTTAGTAGGTCAGTGCTTATCCTACAGTGCCACACCATATCCTACAGGTTGTTGTTGTTAGGTGCCATTGAGTCAATTGTGACCCATAGAGACCCTATATAGGGTTTCCAAGGAGCAGTTAGTGAGCTTGAACCGCCATCCTTGTGGTTCAAACTGACCTTGCAGTCCAGCGCATTAACCCACAGTGCCACACCAGGATTCCTATGTTGTTGTTGTGGTGGTGGTAAAGGGCCACTGAGTTGGTTCCAACCCACAGCGACACCGTATAGGGTTTCCAAGGAGCAGCTGGTAAGCTTGAACTGGCTATCTTGTGGTTCAAACAGTCTTTGCAGTCCAGTGCATTAGCCCACAGAGCCACCCCAGGACTCCTATAGGTAGGCTTATTTAGATTACCCATTGCCATGGAGTTGATTCTAGAAACCCTACAAGAAAGAGTGAAACTGCCCCGTTGCATTTCAAAAGCTGGATCCATAAAGATCATAGCCTTAAAAATGCTACAGGAAAGTCAGCTGCTACCTAAAAGGTTAGTTCAAGCCCACCAGATTCTGTGTGGGAGAAAGATATGGAAGTCTGCTTCTGCAAAGATTGACAGCTTTAGAAACTCTCTGGGGCAGTTCTATGCTTTCCTACATGGTCACTATGGGTCTGAATCAATTAGATAGCAATGAACAACCTTCTTTTGTTTTATTGTGAACTGAGTGCACGTTCACAGATCATTAGTTTTACACTCAGTAAGTTATATACTTCGTTTCATTTCAATGATTGCAATGCCCTCAAATTAACATCACTAACCACTTGGGCTTGAACTGCTAACTGAAGGTTTCCACTCCTTCATCTTCCCCAACCCTTCTGCATTTTGCCCTTTTGATCTCACATGG